GTCTATACAGCAGGACATGACATGCTGCTGAGCAACCGCGTTTGGGCACCGATCCGTAGCTTACTGTGTTGCAACTCATGCCTGTGTGGCCATCGGCTTGCCGCGTCTTGATCGGGCCCTGAAGTACCGTATAGATAATAATTTGATTGCCATTAAGGCAGCAATATGCTTTACCAAAGTGATGAAGCGAAGGGGCCGGTGGTAGACGTTCCGCCTGAAAGATATATGTACAGATAAGTATCGAGGCACGGGGAAGGGTCCTAATATAACAAGGACATAGACGCTCGCTATGTCCTAATTTCTTGGTGCAGGAACTCATCTACATTCTCAACCACGGCTTTACCCCTCTTGCGCAATAACTACTAGTTCAACCCGTCCCCTTGCCCACATGGCGCTGGATATCGGGTTGGTAATTGGTAATGCTGTGAGACGGACGATTAGGAGCTGCCATGTCCGTCCTCGTGCTGGGCAACACCAAAGGTTGACGCAGCGTTGTCCATCTACAAAAGTCATTAGACGGGAAGGAAAACGAATGGATGTCATTCATCCAATTAAGGACCCTGAATTGACCGAATTTGACAATCCTGCATGGCTAGGACGACCTAGGACGACGGACGGTACAGCATGTTGTTGGCAACCCGCCCTCCTGTGCAACACTGCACTGGCAGCCCTGCGGTTAGTTCATGATAATGACTGCCGGAATGAGGCTGGTGGCGATGGCTCGTAAATTCCTCTCTGTAGCGGAGGCAAGGCATGGCAAACACTTACCGTTGAGCTATACGGAGTCGTTAAGTTTCAATCAAGCTCTTCGCCAAAATGAATGGCCATTACTGGAGCTACTTGGGTCAAATTGATTGATTCTGCGGGAATAAATACCTTCTAGGGCTATCAGTAGCACTTCATTACAACAATACGGGTTGTTGTGTCAAGTTGAAACCTTGGACATGATCTGATTGCATGCAGTGCCAATGCCTATGCAAGACACAACGAGGAGTATATCGGCAGGCAACACCCGTAGAACCGTCGGTTGACTATATTTCAATTGTGTTAGACAATCTCCTAGGTAACATTGCCAGAGGCGGAGTGAGTTTGATGGACCGCTTCTTCGGCTGGCAGCAGTGCCTAATGTCATGAATACTTTGATAATATTCTGTACTGTCTTATGCTCGGTGAAAGCCCAAAAGTTTTGTCGCTTTTACTTGCTAAAGATTGAGTATACAGTACCTACGATACCTCTGGAGTGACCCTGCCGAATACTTCCACAGCAGTGAGCATCTTGTAATCCTTCCAATTAGCCAAGCAGATTGGGCAATGGCTGAATTGACAAGAAAAACTACGGATATTCACAGCGGGTTCAATGCGGCCCCGGTTATTTCGTCCCAGAGGGCAGAGCACCACTGTAGATCAGCTGGGGTGTCTGCAGGATTGTCTCTTCAGAGTTGAGCCATAGTAAACTTACTTGACGGCGTCGGAGGTTTGTGGGCGGGGGTGGTGGAATAATTACGAACTGCTCCATAGTGTGGTAGTATACAGTACCGTGTGTACAATACGAATGGACGAATGGACGAATGGACGAATGGAACGGTAGTTTTGATTGCAGCACCCAAGCAAGAACGTTGGCTCTAAGTGGCCATCAAAACGATGGATTGTCAGTCATAGGAGGCCCAGTCCTATCTTGGACAATAGTTAGTCAGACAACTCTGACTCGGAAAGGTACGGGGTTTTGGCCACGGCCCTATGATGTTAGTGCAGCGTGGAGGGGGCTTGCATGACCAAGTAGTCAACGATTGGGCGTCGACCGATCATGGTGATGGCTAAGGTATTATTGGCTTTTTTGTTTGTTTGTCTGCGAGACAGTTTCCAATTAAAGTCCAGGAAGTGACGGCCTCCGCCCTTTGACGCGGCTGCTTGCAGATATAGAATGTATGTGTAAATTGTCAAAGAGTTCATAGCTTGAGCTCTCAAGATTTGTGCCGTGGAACGGCGAAGCAAAATTGCTCCAAGAAGCTGCAATTAAAGTGATACCCAATCCGCCACCCGGGCAGCAGTGGGGATTCAGTTAGGCAGAAAGAGAGCCAGCTACACCCAAAAGGAAGCACAGGCAAGGCAAAGTGAAAGCTCAATCTTGGGGAATGGGTAGGGAAAAGGTCTTTATAGCAACACTGGTTTTAGCTACCGACCTAGTGCATAGGAATGTAGTTTGTCTGGACTGGTGTGTTGTGTGTATCTAACAAGACCGCTCGGCAGTCAGAACAACATACAACGTGAGAGGGATGCGGATAGGTGCAAAAACTTGGAATGTCAGACCGATGATGAAGGAACAAAGCAAACCCCGGGAAAATATGTGGCTTCTGTGCCAATAAGGGAGATATCCCCGCTGACTCTTGCGTAATGCGACCCCCGGTCCACGACTAGCATGAGCCTTGCAGCATCTGTACTCATCTGGCTGCCATGACCTGCACGTTTGATGCCTGGTAGTTCGGGACTTCATTAGACAGCCTGTCCGAGGGAAAAACTACGCATGGTAGCCGACGTATTTGTTGAGTACACTGATCGCAGAGAGCAAAGGCTCAAAAATTTTGCAGCAAATTTTGTTGAAAAGCGGACCTAAGAAGTAGAGAGGAGCGGCATCGAAGGAAGCGTTGCGTCGCCAGATCCACAGTTAGGCCTTCCTGCTTGGGAGTTTGAACGAATCAGATGACAGACTGTCTGTCTGGAAATAGGCGGATTAGTCTCAATAGCATGAAAAGACATGGAGCGGGTGTCCTAACTGACCTAGATTGGAGGCTCTGCTAATGCAACTCGCAACGCTGTCATCAGCTTGTCCTCTGGAGAGACTAGTCCCGGTACGGAGCAAGCTGATGCTAACGAGGTAGTCTCGGCGGGATGAAACCGCACGTCTTGTTGGGGGTCCATCTCTCGGGGGCCCATTTCATCTGCGATGGCGACAACTTAGATGGGCGGCAATTGAAATTTGGCATCATGGCTTGGAGTTTTGGACCGTGGGCCCGACACCTCGGTAGGCCGCGCCTGCCATTTTACCAGATCCATCAGATGTGGAAGGACCAATGCAGTGACATGGACTTCACCTGGGTCTCCAGCTACGAGAGGACATGTGCGCGGTTGAAGAACTTGCATACATTTACGGCTACAATGCCATGACCACAAGCAAGGCATGCAATGCCTAATCTCCACGAGAAAAAGCGTCATCCTCGTCGCCGGACAATATCCTTGATTGTAGTTGGTCGACTTGCAAGCCTCTCGTCTGCGTTGGCAGTTTACTTGGACCACACCCCTGACGCCCTCGCCATCCTCAACTGGTGTGCTCCCCCCCATCTTTGTCGTTCTTGGGACACCTTACACAAATAGCAAAGTTACCCTTGTTCACCGTGGCGATGGCTAACATGTGAATAAGATAGAGGACATGAGTATATGATTCTAACGGAACCGCAAGACGGACAGCCGTCTTCGCCGAGAACCGTGTCTCATGCCTGGGCTACATAAAACAAAAAGGATGCCAGCCTAGACGTATGACTAGCAGCGCCACTGCCAGATTGCAAGACAGAGATGTTTATGCGCGCCATGACACTGAGCTGGCAACATCGAATACACTCCCTCTACCCGTTCTCTGATTCAGTGGCACCAGCAAAAAGGTGGAGTTCCCGAGTGTCCCTAAGCCCACGCCCTCTCTCTCGGCCAGATTTGCCAGTTCAGCTTTCACCCTCCAACCTTGGGACAGTCCGTCACGACTCAAATGCGCACCAGCCGTTGCAGCACCTTTCTGACCCAGTCAGTGCCCTGGCAATTCACCCTTTTGACGAACGAGCGTTCCATATTGGCCTTTGGAATACGTGGTGTTGTGTTGGGACAGGCAGGCACTCGATTGGACTGCCCAAGGATAGGAACTAAACTAGAGGCCTAATAAAACCTCATAGCTGCCACCAACGTCCGTCCTTGTTCACTCTGTGTCATTGCATGCCTGGCCATATCCCCCCGACTTGCTGACATAGAATTGACAGTCATCACTCCGCGCCGTCTCCTGTCATCCCCGTCCTTTACATGCTCACATTCTCCATTTCTCATCGACAAAATTTCATCGACGTTTTCTTTGCTCGACCAGCCTGCAAGTCTATGGGTGCCAGTGGTACTCGCTGCTGATCGCTCACGACTGGGGTCTCGACTCGACATTGGGCGCTATTGCGCCTATTTTTTTTTTTTATTTTTTTTTTTTCTTGTTTTCCCTTGTTCGCTTTTCCTTTTTTT